CGCCGCTGCGCCCCGCTCCTGCCGCGGGTTCCGCGACGCGCCGCCCCCTCCCGGCCGGGGCAGTGCCGCAGGCGAGCGCTCGGAAAAAAGCCCGTCTCCGGAACTAGTTTTTGTTTCCTTTGCGTTGTAGTGAGCGCCCCCAGGGCAGGAGTGTCTCCGTGTTGGCGCAGACACCGCGCGGGTTAGCCTCGCGGCCTCGGGGGACGAGTGCCGTGGAGGGGCCCGACCCCCACGTCCAAAAAGCGCCCCCCCCCCAACGGGAAACGCGGGAGGGTCGCCGAGCGGGGCGGCCCCGCGCCCCCCGACCGCCCGCACGCCCCGAGCCGGGCACCTAGGTCTCCAGGCGACTTCTGTCTTACAGTAGAATGCCTTCGGTGGGGAGACCTGTTACTCCCCCCATGCAAAGCTAAATAAGAGACGGACTGGCCAAGAGAGGGGTGTATCCGACGTCCAGTCCTCCTCTAGCTTACTGTTTGCGGGGACTTCTGCGGAAACGAAGTCCGTTCCGCGAAGAGGATAGAGGACTTGAGGCGTGGCGTGCTGCGCGGGCGGAAAGCTGGGAAGCTGGAGCGCGGGCAGCTGCCGTGCCGGGCCGCGGTGGTTGCGGGGGACGCAGCGCCGCAGCCCCGGCCCGCAGCTGCGCGGGGGATAGGCTCCCACCGCGCCGGCACGGAACTCCCGAGTAAACGTCCGACATAGAATAAAAACTCAGCTAGCGGGGCGCGGGGAGGGTGTCGATCACAGGAGCTGGTTGTCGAAACTCGAAGCCCAGTCTCGAGCGCCCTTCGGCACATTTTACAGCTAAGGTGATGCGAGGGACAGTTGAGGCCTGGGTTTGCTGGCGCCTTGCGGTTTGCTGGGAAGCCACGGCACACGGTTCTTGCCCTGGGAGGGGCGGCGCGGGGTATCTTTGCTGGGGGTGATTCTACTGTGCGGCTGGGAGTGTCGGCACTCAGCTCCCCTGGCGTTTTCCTCATTTGCCTGGTCCCCCAACACCCCGGGGGAAATGGTGAAAAATACTCTCCTAGAGCCCCCGAAACGGGAATTCCAGGGCCCCAGGAGGAGATAGTCCCCCGCTCCTCCCCAGGGGATGCTTTGTTCAGGGATTGTGGGATCAGTCAACTGCAACAAACACTGTTTGGTCAGGGTTTGGGGAAAGGTCTGCCTATCCCCTGCCTTTCTTCCCCACCCCCCCAGTCCCCTTTTCTTTATCAGAATAGGGGGGTTTTGGCGTCAGTGCGTGTAGTTCAGAATGCCCCTCCTTCCCAACCAGAATCTTGTAGGGCAAGGACAAAATGAATTTTGAAAAACCATCTTAGCTGATTACATTTTGTATTACTGCCTTCCCCACCCCTGACTCTGTCCCCCCTACTCCCCTTTTGTATTGGGGGAAACGGACCCTAAGAGGTTACCTAATCAGGCCAATCATAAGTTGTCAGGGACAGATCTCGTGCAATGCTTTTTCTTTGTACTTTAGCACCAATTAATAGCGGTATTTATTTTAGAAAAAGGTGGTTTGTAAGTAGTAATTCTGTGGAGTGAGAGATAACAATTTTTTTTTTTTTAAGATTTTATTTATTTAATTGACAGGGAGAGAGAGAGAGAGAGACAGCATGAGAGGGAACACAAGCAGGGGGAGTGGGAGAGGAAGAAGCAGGCTTCCGGCTGAGCAGAGAGCCCGATGTGGGGCTCGATCCCAGGACT